CTGTGGTGCACTCGCAGTGGGAGTCGAGGAAGGTGAGGACGGGCGCCGTGGCGTGGGCGGCCCCCATCAGCCTCGCCCGGATGAGGCCCTCGCGCTTCGGAGCCCTGATGATGCGCACCTTCGGGTACTGCGCCATGTAGTCCTCCAGCTGCTTCATGAGGTGGGCTGTGGGGGAGAGACACGAGGGGTCAGTGTGGGGGCTGTGGGGGAGAGACACGAGGGGTCAGTGTGGGGGCTGTGAGGGAATGATTGATTGACTATTTAAAATTTTCTGCCGTGTCGACATCTTAGGCCAATAGCGGAGGAGAGAGGGGGGGGGGGGAGGAAGACTCGCGAGCAGAGATGTTGGCCAAGGGATTGGCCTTCGCTCTGCAGCTGAAAGAATGCATCTTTCGTATCAATTACTGAAATAATTACAAATGAGTATATGCCAACCATCTGAATATACACAAGTTCATTGATACAGACATGACAGCATATATATGTATATGTATATTATGGATATATGTGTACACACACACACACACACACACACACACACACATACATATACACACTCTCTCTCTCTCTCTCTCTCTCTCTCTCTCTCTCTCTCTCTCTCTCTCTCTCTCTCCTCTCTCTCTCTCTCTCTCTCTCTCTCTGTATAAATATAGTGTACACACACACACACACACACACACACACACACACACACACACATATATATATACACAATATTCAAAATATAAATAAGATATATAAAATACAAGATACACATTGTATAATATATCAGACATCAAATATCAAATATAATATATAATATATACACCTCTTAATATGTAATGTGTAACACAGAGCATCTCACATAAAAAATAATAAATAACATACACTATACAATATACAATACACATTATATAAATGAATAATTAAACAAATAAATGAATAGATAAATAAACAGACAAACAAATTAATCAATTAATATAATCATATATATAATCATATATCTATCTATCTATCTATCTATCTATCTATCTATCTATCTATCTATATATATATATATATATATATATATATATATATACTCACGCTCTCCCCCTTGCATCTCAATCCAGTCAATTCACACGCAGAAAAAATCGACCCCAGCGGCAGCCAGTCAGCGCGCAGTTAACTCGGCGCCCGAAATGTCGAGGTCAGGACTTTTTGGAAATTGTCGACACACATATTTTACGAGAAATGAGCACGGCTTTCGCAGGCCTCCCCTCCCCCTCCATCCCTTCTCCCTCTCCCTTTCCTTTTCCTCCTCCCCCTTTTTCTTCCCTTCCTTCTCCCCTCTCCCCTCCTTCTCCCCTTCCCCTTCCACTTCCTCCTCCCCTTCCCCTTCCCCCTTCCCCTTCCCCTTCCCCCTCCCAATCCCCCTTTCACTCCTCCCCTCCCTTGCCCCCCCCCCCCCCCCCCGCCGGGCGCCCTGGCCTTCTTGCCCGGAAGATTAGCGGGTTGAACCGTGATGATAGATGGCGCGCATCGGCCGGGAGGACTCGCCCTGGACGCCACTGCGGACACGTGTCGCAGGGAAAGCCAGACGAAGGGGGAGGGGGGAGGGAAGGGGCGGTTAGAAGTGGAGCAGCCAAATCTATTTATTTATTTATTTTACACAAGAATAAACACTAAAAAGCTGGACATATAGATAATCCTGAAGCGCGAATATTCAAGAGGCCCTTTCTTTATTAATCCATCTATTCATTTATCTCCATACCCTTATAAAATTAAACTTCCATACACTAGTCACATCAGAGCTTAAAATCTCGAAAAAGCAGAGCCCGAGCGGCACGCGGCGCCGCCCGAGAGCCGAGCCAAACTTGAGGGAAAGTCTTTTTCATGGCGACTCCAGCGGCGGAGGTCATTAGATCGCTCTCGCCGGCCCCTGATTACTCTTTTATACTTCCAAGAGCCCGCCGCGCTTCTCAAACTTTCCACAGACCTTTTTCTCGGGACGTTGCTCCACATACCTCATCCTCGAGAAGCTGTATCGAAAAGCTAATCCTCAGAAACTTCAATCCCTTGCGAACTTCATCCTTGAAACGCTGAGCCTCGAAGGAACTTATCACTGAAAACTCCATCCCCAGGCACCTTACCCTTCAAAAAAAAAAAACTCATCCTCGAACCCCTTCCCCTCGAAAACCTCACCCTCGAGGAAGGAAAGACCGCGTTCTCCGGGGCGCGGCGACCTCCGGGGGCTGTTTGTCCGGAGTTGACAAGCGACTTCGATATTGAAAGCGGACGGGTATGGCCTGTTCGGGGCCTCGGGGGAACAGTACTCAGCATCGGATTCTCTTCGCTCGCTACTGGGTTTTGCAATAAAAGAAAAAAAAGGAAAAAAAAAAGACATAAATAACGAGGGAAGCCTGTGGGGGGTGGAGGGGGGGGAAGGGAAACCATTTTACTTCTTTCGACTCCATTGCTTCTCGGTTGTCGTCTCGCGTGGGCTTGTTTCGCTATCCTTTCTTAGAGTTCTGTTCTGTTC